GGAGTCAGTTCCGACTCATAGTGACCCTGTACAGGGTTTCCGAGGCTGTAAATCTTTATAGGAGCAGAAAGCCTCATCTTTCTCCTGAGGAACAGCTGGTAGTTTCGAACTGCTGACCTTGTAGTTCGCAGCCCAATTTGTAACCACTATGCTACCAGAGCTAAATATGCAGTGATAAATCTTAGTTCCTGATATGATTGTGAGAAGTGAACCGAGTACTACAAGTAAACTCAGGATAGCTGCAATTAGTAATGTAATATTTGGTCTACCTTTTTGTTTGTTTTGCCATCGAGTCAGTTCCAACTCACACTGACCCTGTAGAGGCTTTCTGAGGAGCAGCTGGTGGGTTTGAACCACCGACCTTGTGGTTTGGGGTCCAGTGCTGATCGTATAGTGCTACATTGGTTTGTTAAAGCTCTTTGTCTGGGGGCCTAAAGAGGGAATCAGCTGAGACTGTGGCTGCAAGATGTCAGCACTATTAACTGTTCTTTTCACTCCATCAGAGGTTTTCAGCCTGTGCTTGGGAAGGTTCCAGGTCAGAACTTCTCAAATATTAGCAATTCTGTGAGTCATACTGGGGTTCTGCAGCCTCTGTCTGACTCAGTAGGCCTGCAGTGGGACCTGGGGCTCTGCATTTCTTACAAGCTTCCAGGTGATGTGAATGCTACTAATCCAGAGGCCCCTCATAATTAGAGATTCCATGGAACTTCCTCTGGGTGGTCTGGGTGTGCAGGTAAGTACTTGGGAAGAAGAAGCAGAAAGGAGAGAGACTGCCAAAAGGCTCCAAGTCCTAGGGTTTCTTTCCTGCTCTGCTCCACAACGCAACAAACCTCCCATCTACCTCCGCTCCTACCCAAGCTCATGTTTTACACTTTATGTATAAAAACATGATTTTCTTCAAACACCAACATGTCTTTGGCTAAACAAGTTTGAAAACCACCAAAGTATTCCCAGCTTCCTATTATATTTGGCAAGTAAGCAGAGCTATCACAGAACATTTGTTTCCTTGATTTTCATTCTCATTAAGGCCTCAGTCTTTCATTCAACAAACACCTGGCCTTTTTTAGGATGCTGAAAGCTGCGGAGAAGAATTTCCATAAAGTAGGAAAACACCTTTGTCTTGTGTGACTTCAAGTGCACGTCTCTGTGAAAGAGGTCCCTTCTCAGAATTTGCTAATAAGCTAAGTGGGTGGGAGGAGTGTTTGACATGTCACAGGATGCAACTGTTCTGGAGAAAGGTTGTCTTCAGATAACACCCTAAATGGGGCCAAACCTCTTATTTATAGGAAGGACGCCTGTGGGCATTTATTTCTTCTGAACATCTCTCAAAGCACATGTCGTCTTGACTGTTCGAGGTGATACTCTTCTGATTACCGAAACCCACCACATAGACATAATCATCCTTTCTCCTAAAGAACCAAATAACTCTTTTCCCCTAAATGCTTTCCTTCTCATCTCCTGGACGAGGTGCAGTGTGCCAGTTAGTAATTTAGATACCTGTATTCCTCTTTCACATGCTATCTTCTGCCGGAAGTGTCTCTGTCTCCTGTCTGTTGTCACTCCCATGCATCCTTCATAACCCAGGTCATTTGTCCCTGACTTTCCAATGGTCTCCACGATACTTGCACCGCAGTGCCTTGTCCGTGCCTCCTTTGTGCCACTTGCCTCAGAGTAATGCAGTTTATAATTGGTTTACTAGCCTCTTTTTCCCCATTTGATACCTTAAGGGTAGATTGCTCTGTTGTGTCTCAATATCGAATTGCCCAAAAAGCAAGGTAAGTGATGGCTTACTTACTAATGTGCAGTGAACAATTTCACTTTTTTCCCCACCTCATCAGAGATTCTGCTCCTAGGCATGGCTGGCATCTGTCTGTCTTCCAGTCCCACCAAACTTTCCTACAGAATCATAGTTCCTTGTAAATTAACAATCCCTGACAGGGACAGGTACCCAATAAACAAGGTGAGCATGGGTTTATTTGTGCTTACTTATAATCTGTAGTAAGGAGCTCTGGTAGCATAGTGGTTACGAATCGGGCTGCTAACCTCACAGTCACTAGTTTGAAACTACCAGCTAGTCTGCGGGAGAAACATGAAGCTTTCTGCTCCCGTAAAGATGTACAGGGTCGCTATGAGTCGGAACCGACTCCATGGCACATAACAACAACAACAACATAATATGTAGTGGAGTTCTGGTATGATGCTGTGGGTTAATGTGCCAGACTGCAAAGCTGTTTGAACCGCAAAGTCAGCGGGTTCAAGCTCACCAGCTGCTCCTTGGAAACACAGGGCTGCTATGGGTAGGAACCAACATGGCAGCATTTAACAAAAACAACATAGTCTGTAGTGAGCAGTTTCAATTTTTTTTTCTTGCGACATCCAATGTGAAAAGCACGTGAAACTGTTCACTACAGATTAGTACATAAGCACAAGCAAGTCCCTTGCTTACTAAGTAATCTGCCCTGGTTGTACTAATCTTTGTATGTATGTGTGCAGCAAATGTTTGTGGAAATAATCAGATGAAGGTGAAATGGAGTGACCATTTGGATTAGGTTTGCTCCTAATCTGACCACGGACAAAGATGGTGAGCTAACACGTCAGACTACAAAGCTGACTGAACTGCAAGGTCAGTGATTCAAGCTCACAAGCTGCTCCTTGGAAGGTTACGGGGTCGTTATGGGTCGGAACCGACTCGACAGCACTTAACAACAACAACAATCCTTAACTCCAGCCCAGGTCCAAAGTGGAAAATGGAATCATAACACATCTGTAGGAAGAGGAGAACTGATCTTTAGCTAAGGCCTGAAAGTTAAAAGGAAATGAGAATTCAAGTCCTCTCTCTCTCTCTTTAATCTCAGTGTTCTCCTTCCCAACTTTAGGATAATCACACTAAAGATAAACTTCCTCATGCATACCACTGTTACTCTCTCTCGCCAGGGCACTGCTCCATGACACCTCAGTAACATCAATAGGAACACCTCATGAATTAATACAAATCAAATATCCTTCTTCTCTTTATGGAAGTCAGAAAGATGGAGACCAAAGAGAACAAAGAAAGAAGGAAACAGATGTTTAATTTCATATATATTAAAACAAAAAGCTTTCTTAATTTATCCACATTTAAAATAACAACAAAACAAAGTGTGATGTGTGAACCAGCAGCACAAGACTCACCTGGGAGCTTGTCTGAAATGCTGGGCTTTGTCCTGTTCCAACCCTCCTGCATCTGTGTCTCCAACAAGGTCCCAGATAATTCGTGCACACACTGAAGTTTGGGAAGCACTGTTCTGGTAGCCTGAGTGTCTCTTAAATGAGCCACTTTTTAAAAGACTTAATAACTGTTTGGTTGTCCGAGAAGAGAAAGTCTCCAACAAGCTGTATTTTGGTAAAGGAGTCAGGAGACAGGTGTTTTAACAGTTTATACAATAACCTTTTCAAAGCAGCTAGAAACGGCACATGTTCTTTAGCCCTACATTTCCCTGGTTTATAAGAGCTGGGTCTTCTAATTCCTGGGAGATAGATCTAGTTTTCTGATATAGGCAAAGTTTGGGAATAAATCTGTTTTTCTACTTCCTCAGATACAATTTAAACTTTTTTGTTTTCTTCATGGACACTCTTATGACTTTCTTATTCCAAAGATCTTCTAGTGGCCTAGGAGCCTGGTGATGCCATGGGCTAAGCACTGAGTGGTTAACTGAAAGGCTGGAGGTTTGAACACACTAAATGTTCTGCGGGAGGTGGAGAGGGGAGAACTGGTAATCTGCACCTGTGAAGATTACAATTGAGATTCAAAGACGGGAGTGTTATCCTATTTCCAGGACTCTGAATAGCCTGGCAGATCCTATTGGGCAGTTTGACTCTGTGCTGTAGGGTTGCGATGAGTTAGAATTAATACGATGCCATCCAACTACACAAAATACGGCATTGATTATACGTTTTAGTTCTTAGGAACCCTTTGGTAAGCTGAAAGTATTTAATAACATGTCTTTTAGTATTTAACTTGAAATGGGGAGTTGTTTGTTACTGGTTTCCAATGTTCCAACACTGAGGTAAAAATTGTTGTAAATATTTTTTAGGCTACAGCTTTGTGTCAGTATTTGGAGGAACATACAGAGGATTTGAATCTCCAAGATACTAAAATACTTGAAATTGGTGCTGGACCAGGCCTGGTCTCCATTGTGGCCAGTATTTTAGGTTTGTTGGTTTACTTGTTACTCACATTACTTCAAATGGCATTTACCGTGATAGTGAAAAATGCTTACCGGTGAGGATGTGGTTTCAGGCTTGGCCTAATTCCATTCACTGAATACCCCCAAATGTCACTAATTGTGCATTTCTACTGTTACTCAAGAGATAATTAAGACTTGGAGAGGCTGAGTAAATTGCTTAGTCTGCCCAGTTACCATGTGATGAAGTTGAACTTCAGGAGGTGTGACTCCCAGGTTGCTGATGTAAATAGCTGTGTTTATGTGGTTTCCTACTTTTCATTGCACATAGTTTAACTGATATTTGGGGTGGGGTGGAGGGAGTGACTTAATCATAGTGAAGACAAGTTAATACTCAAATGCATTCCAACAGTTCTTTTGTACTGGACAAGACTTGGGTACAAATCTGGCATAGTTCTGCTTACACGATTACAATTATTTTTCTGTTAAAATCAGTCTGGAAATATGGTGATGTGTTTTGTGAATCCTTGTCACTGTCTTTCCAGTTCAAAAAAATTAATAATGCATTTTGGTAGGGAAGCGAGTCGGACAAAATAAATCATCTTTTGTAGAGCGCAAACTAGGTGATGAATATCTTGCACAAGAGAAAAAAAAAAAAGAAATCTTCAGATAAATACAAGTTTGGAAAGAAAGACATTATAAATTATTATCTTAAATATATTTTAGGAACCTAAGATCTCCCACCATTGCACTATTGTTAGTTAACTTACAATTTCTTAAAAGATGGGAATATTATTTTATTTCAGTGATTCTCATCTGATTTTGCCCAATGAAGGGCAAGTGATAATTTCTGGAGGTATTTTTTAATGTCATGACTTAAAGGTTGGATGTGGGAGGTCACTACTGGTATCAAAGTGATCATGTTATTTGAGGCTACTGTTGCTACTAGACCCCTGATGCTACTAGACAGTGCACGGGAGAGCCTTCCCACCCTCCAGGCCTTACCCAGTCCAAATATATCAAATCTGGTCAGCCTATGGGTCAGTAGAGTCCAGGCTAAGAAGCCCAGTTTTAGTGCTTGTGATTCCCCTGAGTAAGTGTACGCACTGCGATACTCACATTACAACATCAGCATTACTATGCTCTTCTCTCTTAGGGGCTCAAGTCACAGCAACTGATTTGCCTGATGTCCTGGGGAACCTTCAGTATAATCTTGTAACAAATACCCTAAAATGTGCAGCTCATCTGCCTGACGTGAAAGAACTGGTGTGGGGAGAAGACCTGGAACACAACTTCCCCAAGTCGACTTTTTATTACGATTATATTTTGGCCTCTGATGTGGTCTACCATCATTACTTCCTGGACAAGTTGCTGACCACCATGGTATATTTTTGTCAGCCAGGGACAGTGCTGCTTTGGGCAAACAAGTTCAGATTCAGCACCGATTATGAATTTTTAGATAAATTTAAGCAAGTGTTTGATACAACACTCTTGGCTGAATTTCCAGAGTCATCAGTCAAACTTTTTAAAGGAATACTGAAATGGGACTAAATTAAACAAAATGCCTTTCAAAAATACTAGCGTGTCTTTTGAGCTGTGATGGAGACTGCACTGGCAATAAAAGTCTCTCAGTGGCTATTAGTAAATTGAGAGGCTAGAAGCAACCTGTCTAGTTAGAAAAAACGTGAGAACACTGCAATCAGCTAGCTGAAATAAGGTACAGCTATCTATCTGGATAAGCAAATATCTGCAAAGAAGAGCATTCAAAATAACTTTACTGACTTCCAATAATTTCAATTAAATGTATCAATAAATTTACACAAACCAATGAATTAACAGCTGGATTTATCTATTGTTATTTCTGTTAGATATCCTGGCTTATACTTGTCAGTATATTTTTGCTATATGATTTTTGAAACAGAACTAAGTAGATCCTTATACCTTAACTTTAAAAATCTATTTATATGGATTTTAACTGTAGCAAAAAGAAAGAATACTGAGTGAGAGAAAATCGTAATAGGTTTGACATTGATTAAAAAATTCTAAAACATGGCAGCAGCACTGGAATGAGAAAATGAAAGTTGTCTTAAGAACTTTCAAAGATAATTTACTTTAGAAATCATCACCCTTCTGTGGACCACAGTTGACTATGGATAACATTGGGAAGACCTGACTATAGACCAAAAAGCAGTTGTTAGAATAGAAGGGAATACCGAATGGTTTAAAATCAGGAAATGTATGTGCCAGGGTGGTATCCTTTCACTATTTTTATTCAGTCTGTATTTATTCAATCTGTATTGAATGACAACAGCTGCTGTTGTTAGGTGCCGTTGATCTGTTCTGATTCGTAGTAACTTGATGCACAACAGAAGGAATCACTGCCCAGTTGTGTGTGATCCTCACAATCTTTATTAAGTTTGAGCCCAATGCTGCTGCCACTTTGTCATTTCATCTCCTTGGGAGTCTTCCTCTTTTCACTGACCCTCCACTTTACCAAGCATGATGTCTTTTTCCAGGACTGATGCAACTGAATTCTTGTGTTGGATTGTTGTTGCTGTTTTTATGATAAAGAGTGGGTAGAAAAAAACTATAAACTAAGCATCACAATTAAAAAGAAAACTTTTTTCGTATCTCTCTGAGGTAGGGATAGGAAAAACATTCCAGCTCCTATCATCTCTTTTAAAGAAGCTACATTGTACTGAAGGTTTCAGTCACTGTCGAAACGGAAAGAAAAGAAATAAAACATGCAGATTTTCAATGGGTGAAATAAAACTGACTATTTGTGGATGATATGAATTTGTAGACTAAGGGACAGTCAACATTTTCTGTGATAGGCCAATAAAAAGTATTTTAGGTCTGTAGGCCATATACTGTCTCAGTAGCATATTATTTTGTTGTGGTTGTTAAGTGCCGCTGAGTCATTTCCGCCTCATAGCAACTTTCTATAGGAGTGGTTGGTGAGTTTGAACCTACAGCCTTGTGGTTCAAACCGACCATGTGGTCCAATGCTTATCCTACAGCGCCACTTCAAAACTAAGATTATGGGCAATTCAAAAAGAGGCTGTTGGTTTGATTTGGCGTACAAGATATAGTTGCTGACCCTTGGAACTGTAGAAAACCTACAGACGAATGATAGGAATTTATAAAATTCAAGCAAGATTACAAAATGTAATGTCAATATACAAGCTCAAACTTATGTATCTATGACAACCACTAAAAGAAAATAAATGTTGCTGAATAAATGTAGATACACAAAGTTCAATGTATTTATAAATTGTAACCATAAACAGAAAATGAAATTTAAATAAACAGTGGTAAATATAAGTGATAACTTAGAATAGCATTATCAGCTACTTAAGAATAAACCTAACAAAACAAATGCAAATAATTTATACAGACAAGTGTGTGTATGTTGTTGTTGTTATGTGCTATTGAGTCAGTTCCGACCCATTACTGTTGTTGTCAGGTACCATTAAGTCAGTTCCGAGTCATAGTGACCCTATGCACACCAGAACCTCACAAACTTTGTTACGCTTGAACCCACTGATGCTACCACTTTGCCAATCCATCTCGCTGGGGGCCTTTTTCTCT